AGAAGCAGAATTACCACTTTTATATTCACCTATTACGAGAACTTTCACAGTAGTTATTTGTAAAGGTTGAACCCCAACCTTGAGGGCCCTCACCGTCCCGCCCCTTAAACTTTGTGAGGGAGGTAAATCGAGAGATATGCCCCAACAGACCAAGGAACAAGAGCTGCCTGTATACTGCGCCTATAAGGAGTCCAATTCCATATTTCAGGAATCGAACCCTCACACTATGGGTGCCAACAAGGCGTGAGATAAACTCACTTCTGTTCTTTGCACCACTAAACTATGCCCCGGGGGGCACTTTCACAGTAGTTATTTGTACAACAATAGATAGTTGGCAACTTGGACCATCATTTAAGACAACAAAATTGACAGGATTCTATATAAGACCCTTGAACTATTAACACTACCGAACGCATCGATCCAATGCATCTGGGTTTAATATTATTCTACTGCTTGTAGTTGATTAAAACGGAATACTGCATCTGTGTTTGGTGGTTAAAAGACAGCGAGCTTTGTCCCTTTCTATAGCATTCTTTGTTTTGTAATTTCCACTGCAACATTGAGTAAGGTTTCATTTTCTCCACAGGAAATTGATGATTAAGCTAACTGGAAAAAAACAAAAGAAAATTGGGCTCTACTGACCAAAGCTTTAGCAACCAATCAAATGAGGCTGCTATAGGACACTATCACCGACCAAAAATTGGTTGGTAACAATTTTAGTCTGTTAAAATGGAACTAATATATATATGTACTCTTTAGCGACCAAAACTTGGTTGCCGATTCAGAGTATCAAGGATAGGGACCATACATTCCGTTGGTTATTGAAGATTGTGGAGGGAAAAAAATCACATTTTTCCTGCAAAAAAGGTAGCTTCAGCGACTACCTTATGGTTGCTATTTGGTTTCAACTACCACACCTAACTTGGTTATTGAATAACTTGGCCGGCAAATGTCACATATCTTTTTGCGTTGTTTTGGATTTATCAGCAACCATTAAATGTGGTCGCTGGTCAGTATGATTTAAACAACCAAGCAATGGTTGGTCATCGTATGTATCCAATTTGTTGGTCGCTGGAAGTTATATATTAGCAACTACGGTATATTGGTCACTATAGATGTTGACCGATTTTTCACTTTTACTAGACACCAAAACCGAACCATGTAGCGACCAAAATTTCGTCACTGAATGTTAAATGTTTAGCGACCACACATATTAGTCGCAGAAAACATTCACCGATGGTGTATTAGCAACCACTCACCGATCACAATTAATTGGACGCTAAACGTCTTCAGCGACAAGGATACTCTTTTGGCGACCATTTTTATTGGTATGCAATTTTTATTTATTTTATTTATTTATTTATTTTTTTTTTTTTGGTAGTGAATTTTGAAGGAGAAAGTAACCGAAATAATGGAGGGAAAAAAAAAGGAAAATTCTGAAAATTCAGTGAGGGCAATTTCACAACTTCAAACAAGCTGTGGCATGAAGAGTTTTTCATGATGAATTGAAGAATTTGGTTCTTCCTAGAGTTAGGTTTCAATTGGGGACCTGATTTTGTTATATGCAATTCAATTGGAATTTTGAGATGGTAGTTTGTTTTAGGAGTGAGAAAACAAAACAAACTTATTTATTAACAGAAAGTGAAATTGCGAATCAATTCAATGCTTTGTTTAATCTTCTGTGTCCTCCATTAACTCCGTTTGTTGCCACATTATATTTAATCCGTCATGTGGTGTTAGAATTTGGGTGTGGCCCGAATTCTTTGTTGAAAATAATTGAGAGCTCTAATTAAAATGTACATTAAAAGGAATTCTAATCGGTTAGCTTCTGGAATCTTATTCGAAGTCTATTTGACGAATTCTAGTTGAAGTTCTACTTAGAAACTCTATTGGGAGTTGGAATTTGTATTGGACTTAAAGAGATCAAAATAAGAAAATTTTTGGACATTCTATTTCACATACAATTATACGTGAAATATCTATATTTGGCTCTTCTATACAATTTTAGTTGGGTTGTTTAGCCTTATTACAAGTTAGACAAATTATAAACACAAAATCTTTGTATTTTTTCTCTATATTATAATAAAATCTCCATTTTCTACAAATTATTTTATTTTTGTGTTTTTGTTATCAATTACTTTATATTGTTGCTTAATATCTTATTTTCTCCAACAAATTGGTATTGGATTAATCCAGTATCATCTTTCGCTTTGGTCCAGATTATAATAGATGTTATTAGAGCCTTTTGGTGTTGAAATTTTTGAGAAGATCGAGGTTTTCGTGATAGCAACAATGAAGTATAATATTCCGTTATTGGATCGCAGTACGAGATTTTCGGTGTGGCAAATTAAGAGGTGAGCATTGCTCATTTATATGAGATTGATTTTGTTGTGTTTTTTGCATGTTTCATATTGTTGTTTAAAGACATGCTTTTATATAGTTGTGATCTCACCATTGAAAAAGTTTATGATGCTCTATTTTTAAAAGAAGAAGATGAAGCATATTGTTGAGATTCATAGAGATGGCCTTGTTCTTGATGGTGGTTGAGCAAGGGGCAAATTAAGGTCTAACTTCAAAATTTATTGCAAGGATCGGAGGTACTTAATTAAGGATTGCTATAAGTAGCGTAATAGAGAAAATTTGGCTGTAACTTTTCAGATGGGAAAGCAATTATATACTTCAGGTGAAGCCATTGTTGAAACTTTTCACAGTGATGGAGAATTTTTATTTATTTCTGACTACAATTACAGACCTGACGAGGATTGAATTCTTGATACAACTTGTATTTTTCATATGTTATGCAATCAGGAAATGTTTTCAACATATGAAGAAGTTTCAAAATATGTTGTGATAATCGATAGTAACACACATTGTCAAATAACTGGTATTGGTTGGGTCAGAATAAAGATGTTTGATGAGATGGTTAAAACACTGCACGAATTCCTTGAGAAACGAAGTCATAGGCGCGTAGGTTCAAGGCCAGACCGACTACTCCAAAAGCACTCATCCATAAACCGGTTACTGGTACAAATAACATAAAGAAATGTAACCAAGAAATTTCTAGCCAACTTTCCTACAAGAGATCTTTTCTTAACATCAAGTGTGTTGGGACTAGATTGATGAGATTCGCGCAGGAACATCCACTTTTAATTTTAAAGAGAAGGTTCGAAAACATATTTATTCGGACTCATTACATATCCGTTGCAACTAGTATTTGGGTGTTTTTGCTTGAACTGTACGAGATGAAAGTCTCATATACGGTTCTGAGAGAGGGATTTTCACCTATCTCAATAAAGTCTATGATGAGTTCGAAGAACGTCTCGAGATTCCACCACCTGTCCAGGGTTGAGCCCTGGGATTTGACGGCGGACTTAAAAAGCCACCTACAGACGCTTTATACCTAATCATTTCGGATAACACTTGCATCCTTGATGCAGTGAGACACGTTCTAGATCTGAAGATTTATCTTATCTCCTTAAGTACTCTTAATTCAAAAGGATACAGGTACACGGTTGAAAGTGGAGTTCTGAAGGTTATCGAGGGAGCCCGTGTTGTGTTGATAGGATATAGAAAATCCCATTTCTATATCTTTCAGGGTGTTACATAATCTTTGAGTAATCAACATATTTTAAGAACCCAAGTGGATTTAGAGTTGGCTTCTGTATCATTGGAACCTAATTTGGGGCCTTATTTTAAGAATACATCTCAGTTGCATTTTAAAGATATGAGTAAATCCGTCTTGCCACTATTATCGACGATGTCATCATATTCAATTGCCAGAAAATAGACCAAATTTTGGTAGTAAGAATCCATATAGGTACAATTCTACTAATTCTGTTGATGGTTTGAATGCGGTTAAGTGTGTTGATTCTAATCAAAATCAATCTTTTGATGCATTCGGCTGTGATTTTGTTACTGCCTAGTTTGGTTATTATTAATCACATTTTTTTATTTTGTTGATTCAAGCAACTTTTGTGTCCAAAGTTTTTTCTTGGAATTTTGTTAATACTTAGTTATTGAGTTTTGCCGTAGTTCAGGTAGCAAAGTTGGAGAATATTTTCAATTGGAATTGTTGATGGAGAAGATCGTTTGTATATTCTTTGAAGAGTTCAAATTTATTTTTTGCAGTGGAAAATTTGTCTCCAAGTGGAGAATTTTTTTTTTTTTTTTTTTTTTTTTTTAAGTTTTGTTCATTGCAGTGGAATTCGTATCAAGATGAAGATTGTTAGAATTTGGGTATGACCTGATTACTTTGTTGAAGATAATTGAGAGTTCTAATTAAAGTGCATATTAACAAAAATTCTATTTGAAATATTTTTGGAATCTTATTTAAAGTCTATTTGACAAATTTTAATTGAAATTCTATTTGAAAGTCATATTGGGAGTTGGAATTGGTGTTGGATTTAAAGAGATCAATATACGAAGATTTTTGAGCATTCTATTTCATCTACAACTTTACTTCTAGGGCTTAGATTGCTCCATATATATATTTGACCATTCTCTACAATTTAGTTGGGTTGTTTAACCTTATTACAAGTTAGACAAATTATAAATATAAAACATTTGTATTTTTTCTTCATATTATAATAAAATCTCTATTTTCTGCAAATTATTCGTTCTTGTATTTTCGTGATCAATCATTTCATGCTGTGGATTAATTTCTTATTTTTTCAACAACTTGGTATTGAATTAAGCCGGCAACATCTTCCGCTTTGGTCCGAATTATAATGTGGATTTTTTGCCAGCAGTAATGGCTCCAATGATGGATGGGAATAATTCAGTGAGTATTTCATAATTATATATTTTGGATGAGCAAGTGATGACAGGAAGAAAATTCATTAGGTACTTATTTGATTAACTTAAAAAATAAAATAAAATAAAATAATAATAATAATAATAATTGAGCCCGACCAGAGATTCCTAAAGGGATAATTCTCCTTGGACAGGCCCTGTCCAAACAGGGGGCCCTTCCTAAAGATAAAGCAGAAAACTAACGGCTTTTTCTCACTTCATTCTTCGATCTTTCTCTCTTCCCACTGTTCATACTGCCAAAAAGGAAAAAATTGAAAAGCTAAGAAGCAGCCCACTTTTATCGTTTAAGCAAAGCCAAATGGCAGATGCAGCTGGTACATTTCTGCTAGAAAAACTATACCAGCTACTTCGTTACAACGCCGATCTGATTTGTAACGTGAAGGGTGATGTAGAATCTCTGTACAGTGAGTTGGAGTATTTGACAGCTTTCCTCAAGGACTCAACAGAAACGCGCAATAGCAATGAACGTATGAAAACAATGGTGAGACAAACCAGAGAGGTGGTTTATGAAGCAGAAGACGCTGTGGAACTATTTGTTTCCTTTACATCTGATCACAGGGCCCGGAGTTACTTATCGAGAGCTATAAATATACTCGATTACGGGGCAAATCTTCGAAAAGTGGCCCTAGATGTTAAATCCATCATGAAAGATGTGAGGGATATGTATGAAAAGGAGAGGGCTGTCTTTCCTGCACTGCAGCATGGGGAGGGATCTGAAAGAAGTACAATAGAGAGAAAGGTATAATACTAATTAAGACCTTATTTGGGGTAGCTAAAAATCAGATTTTTAATAGATCTTGATAAAGTTGGTGAAAATTGTGGTTCCGTTGAAATTAATTCATAAACTACATTAGTTGAAGTAGCTTCGTTAATTGTATTCTTAGATCTGAAAGAAGCTCAGTAGGGAGAGGTAATATATTTATTCTCATTTTGAGATCTAATCTCTGTTCGACGAAGTTTTTTGAGATTATAAGTTGATTGAACTTAACTTTTAATCACACCCACATCTCATAATCTCAAAAAGTTTTGTCAAACAGGGGCTTACAATAGGTACAGATTAGCCTATGGACATAACATTTATACTATTTCGAGAATATTTTGTTGTGAAGATCCGTTGATGCATTCTAATTTCTGTGTCATTTAATTATTGGCACCCAAGCTTCTGATCTAACCATTCACCATAACACAGGCTCCCGTTGTAGAGGAAGAAAATGTGGTGGGCTTTCAAGATGAGGCAGAAGAAATAATCAAACTTCTCACTACAGGATCGGAGGACCTAGAAGTTATCTCAATCATTGGTATGGCTGGACTCGGTAAAACAACTCTGGCTAAAAAAGTTTATTGCGATTCCACAATTGAATATGAATTCTATAGTCGGGCTTGGGTTTATGTTTCTCAAGAATGTAATATAAAGGAAGTGTTCCTCAATATTTTATGCAAGCTTAGCGATAGTGATGTCAACGATAATATGTATAAGATGAGTGTCGAAAATTTGGCTAATAAACTTCGAGGAATTCTGGAGAAAGAAAAATATTTGATAGTCATGGATGATGTTTGGAATGATGACGTGTGGCGTGATCTCAAAATGGCTTTTCCCAATAACAAGAATCGGAGTAGAATTTTATTGACCAGTCGTATATTGAGTGTGGGTCAGCATGCCAACCCGAACAGGGATCCTCATTGCTTGCGTTTTTTAACTGAGGAAGAAAGTTGGACTTTACTCCAAAAAAAAGCACTAGGCTCAAAGCAGTGCCCCGAGGAGCTGATAGAACATGGACAAATTATAGCCAAACAATGTTTGGGATTACCGCTCGCAATAGTGGTAATTGGAGGAATTTTACTAGAAAGAGGTACCGAAATTCATTGGTGGGAAAAGGTTAAAGGAAGGGTGAATGCATATTTAGCCTTAGACCGGGAGAGACGCATGGACAAATTTATAGCACTAAGTTTCAACAACTTACCTCATCACTTGAGAGCATGTTTTCTCTACTTTGGAATGTTCCCAGAAGACTTCCAGATCCCAATGTCGAAACTGGTTCGCTTGTGGATTGCTGAAGGACTCATAGAGAAAGAAGAACACAATTTGAACTTGGAAGATATTGCAGAGGAGTACTTGGAGGATCTTGTCAACAGGAATTTAGTAATCGTGGGAAAACGAAGATCAGATGGTAAAGTTAAAATATGCCATGTGCATGATATGATTCATGACTTTTGCAAGAAGGAAGCTGCAAAACAAAATTTTTTCCATGAGACTAAACATTTCAATCAATGTTCCAATTCATCTGCCCCTATCCTTCCCTTCAAAAAGTACCGCCGCCTTGGCATTCATTCCCACGTTTTGGACATTCTCCCTTCTGAACAATTTGGTTTTTATGTTCGGTCTTTATTGTGTTTCTCCCCTGAAGACATTACATTGCCACTTAATCTCATTTCTTCCATCCTTAAACACTTTATGTTGCTCAGGGTGTTAGACGGCAAACCCATAACTTTCAAGAAATTTCCTACCGACCTAACTCTTCTGATTCATTTGAGGTACCTTGTTCTCTCCATTACCATTGCCATCCTTCCAGAAACTATTTCCAAACTCAAGAACTTGCAAACTCTCATAGTTGTGACATCAACACACACCCTTGAAATCAAAGCAGACATATGGAAGATGATTCAACTGAGGCATCTTGAAGTAAATGCTTCCACATCTTTGCTCAAAACAGGCAAAAGTAAAGGAGACTTATCGAAACTTCTGGCAGGCCCCTTTACCAGTAAAAAAAGAAATAGTGAAGAAGACTCTTTGAAAAGTGGAAACCTGGTAATACTTTCTACAATATCACCTGAGAGTTGTTCTGAAGACGTCTTTGCTGCAGCTCCAAACCTTAAGAAATTGGGTATTCGTGGCCAATTATCTAAGCTTCTGGAGGGCAAGGGTGGAACTATTTTGTTCGATAGCCTTGGCAAAAAATTGGTTAATCTTGAAAATTTGAAGCTATTGAATGATGTATATCCTCGGCCATCTTGCGAAAGCAAACTAGTTAGCCTACCACAAGCGTACAAATTTCCTCCGAAACTGAAGAAGCTAACACTATCAGACACTCTGCTAGATTGGGAGCACATGTCTACACTAGGAAAATTGGAAAACCTTGAGATTCTCAAGTTGAAAGAAAATGCGTTTGCGGGAAAATTGTGGCAGCCAGAGGAGGGAGGTTTTCGGGCTCTCAGAGTCTTGCATATTGGAAAGACTGATTTAGTTTCTTGGAGTGCTTCAGCAGTACATTTCCCAAGACTTAGGCGTCTTTATCTTAAACACTGCACTGAACTCTACGAAGTGCCATCAGGCCTTGGTGACATTTCAAGCCTTCAGATAATGGACTTGCACTGTACCAACAAATCAGCAGCTGCTTCTGCCAGAAAAATTGAACTGCTTAAAAAAAACTTTGAAGACCAGCAAAGCACAAAAGGCAGTGGATTTAAGCTTAACATTTACCCTCCAGAACCTCCAGCCGAAGATCAGTGATATCACGTGGGAATATTTCTGTAAAAGCTTACAAGTAAGTCAACTTAACTTTTATTGAAGATTTAGTCACTTAACTTTTTTATTTTAACTCAAGAACCATGCATACTTGCATATAAATGATCATGCTACTCGTTTTACAATAAGTAGATAATTTACATAATTTAGTAGAATTGACCTCTGAAAGTCTTGAATCATGCAAAACTTGACAAATGTTCTACAGTAGTATTCTTAATTGTGTTGTATGACATTGAACTCCAAGATAACAAATTTTAGTAGAGCAGAGCAGAACAGAACTTTTTGTACTTCTCGAATAATGCCAATTGATAGGTAGCAACGGTATCTTTTAGATATCTTGAACAGTAGATTCAATGAACAAACTATTAACGGATACAAATCTGTTAACATTGTTAATTGATAAATTAAAGGAATTAGACAAATTATGGAAGATTAATTACATTTTACTGATTTCATTTTCCCAGAATAGATACAAATCTTATGTATATAATTCCTTGTAATATTACTCTTTAAACATATCGATCTACAGAACCATTTTTACATGGTATCAGAGCACAGATCTTGGTGACTCCATAAACCAAAAACACCTCCCGCAACCACATCAAATTAAATGGCTGACAACACAGAAATCATAAATGAGAATTCCACCACCCAACATGGTTTAGAAAATTCAAGCCTCACCATGAATGAGAATCCACTCACTCTACACAGTTCGGATAATCTGAGCCTCATCTTGGTTTCCAAAGTCCTTGAACCACACAACTACGGACAATGGAGTCGAGCCATGCGCATTGGTCTTAGTGCAAAGAATAAGATCGGGCTCATCGACGGATCCATCGAGATGCCGTCACCCACAAATAAAACTTTTCATTCTTGGCAACATTGCAACGATATGGTATTATCATGGATCCTGAATTCTGTGAGTCCAGACATTGCTTCCAACGTAATCTACATGGATTCGGCATCGACTGTATGGAAAGATCCTTATGATCGGTTTTCACAAGGGAATGAATCAAGAATTTACCAAATTCAGCAAGAAATTGTTGAACACCGACAAAATTCAGATTCAATCTCCGTCTACTTCAACAAAAAAAAAAAAGCTTTATGGGATGAACTAGCATTCTATCAGGAACCATTTACCTGTACATGTGGAGGACAGAAGAAAGTCAATGAAAGAATGGAAAAGGAGATACTTATGCAATTTCTTTTGGGATTAAATGAAACCTATGCTGCAGTTAGAGGAATCATATTAATGATGAGTCCACTGCCGGATACTCGAAAGGCCTTTTCCATAACCTTGCAACATGAACGACAACTCGACGTCGCCTCACACCATGAAGGAACCTACGGCAATTTTCAAGCCATGGCTGTAAATTAATCAGGCAAACCATTTAAGGGCAGTAGCTCACGTGAAATCACTTCTCGCACTGGAGGAGCATCCCGAAAGACATCCAAATGCATGTATTGCGATCAAGAGGGACATATGGTGGAGTACTATTACTACTTGAATGGTTTCCCAGTTGGCCACAAATTTCATGGTAAAAACATCCAGCCGAAGAATATGAGGGCTACAACAAATAATTCCAGCATTAGTCAAGAAGATGCTCAAAAAGTGCAGCCAATCAAACAAGAAGGCCCAACATTCACAACTGAGGAATACAATCAAATTATGGCCATGTTGAACAAAATGAATGCTAATGCCTTTGCAAATGCCACAGGTAAACAAAATTCGCCCACAACTTTATATTGGATTATAGATAGTGGAGCAACATATCATACGTGCCATCTACAACCTATAAATCCAATTCATCAACATGATTTTGTGAACTTACCTAATGGTAGAACAGCACCAATTAATTATGTTGGTTCCTACCAATTATCTGAAGAATTGAAACTTGATGGAGTGTTACATGTGCCAAAATTCAGGATAAATTTATTGTCCATAAGCAAACTTACTAAAGTGTTGAATTGTACAGTAACTTTCTTTTCGGATTTTTGTGTTATTCAGGATGTGGACATGAAGAGTATGATTGGCCTGGGCAAGCAATATAACGGCCTTTACTACCTTTCATCACATCAGAATCCGCACCTTGCACCTCACGTCAACAATGTCTCTAGTCTTTGGTATCAACGACTTGGGCATCCGTCTACCACACCCCACCAAGTATTGTCAAAATCCATACTCGAAATAAGTTTTGATAACAAACATGTATGCGAGGTTTGCCCATTAGCAAAGCAAACTCGTTTACCTTTTCCTTCTAGTTCAATTTCATCATTTGCACCTTTTGACTTACTCCATTCTGATATATGGGGACCTAATAAAATAAATTCTCTTTCTGGAGCAAAGTATTTTCTTACTATTGTAGACAATTTTTCACGCTTTACATGGGTTCATCTTATGACTTTTAAATCTGAAGCACAATCTTTATTGCGATCATTTTACGCCGGCTTACTTGGTGCAAAACATGCAAAATTCCTAAGAGTAGACCTTGAAACTTAATCCAATGGATGGTGATGCTCTTCATGATCCAATGTGATATCGTCGACTTGTTGGGAAGTTGATTTATCTAACAATCACGCGACCGGAAATCAAATACTCAGTTGTTACTCTCAATCAGTTCATGCAGCTTCCAAGAAGACCTCACCTTGATGCAGTTCTTCCCTAATTCGTTACTTGAAGAATGCACCAGGTCAAGGCCTCCTTTTTCCCACACATAGTTCTTTAAAACTCACGGCTTATTGTGATGCCGATTGGGCTGGCTGTCAAGCTACAAGAAGGTCAATTACAGGTTATTGTGTGTTATTGGGAAGTTCCTTGATTTCTAGGAAAAGCAAAAAGCAACCCACTGTGTCACAGTCATCTGCCGAAGCAGAATATCGAGCAATGACAGTCGTTACTTGTGAACTTACTTGGCTGAGATATCTTTTAAGTGACTTGCATGTTAAACACCCTGAACCAGCCAAACTGTTTTGCGATAACTAAGCGGCAACTCACATTGCAGCGAATCGAATATTCCACGAGCGTACAAAGCACATAGAATTGGATTGTTATACTGTTCGAGAAAAGAATACAAAGAGGAGAAGTTAGAACCACACATGTACACACCGGACAACAAATTGCGGACATTTTTACGAAACCATTGGGACAAGCGACTTTTCATTCTCATGTCAGCAAGTTAGGTGTGATAGACATCCACACTTTAACTTGAGTGGGAGTATTAACGGATACAAATCTGTCAATATTGTTAATTGATAAATTAAAGGAATTAGACAAATTATCGAAGATTAATTACATTTTACTGATTTCATTTTCCTAGAATAGATACAAATCTTATGTATATAATTCCTTGTAATATTACTCTTTGAACATATCAATATACAAAACCATTTTTACACGAACTCATATCGTTCTTTTGTTTGAGAGCCTATAAAAAACTCGCTCTAAACTTCAAATCTGAAGCATATGTTTTGTACTTGATCAGAGTAGGATCTAATCCATGATTTGCGGGCAGATAATTCGACTAAAAAACAAATATTTATAAATTGTGATTCTCTTTTTATACGACTGATTCTATGTACTATTTGTACGCGCAGAAAATTCAATAAGCAACAGTGCCAAGAACGTTGACCAAACGGAATTTTGATGCACGGAGACATGGCTTTGCTTCCTAATCTTCTTCTTGTTGGAATGAAACAATCTGTTGTACTTCAGTTTATTGTATGTTACATTTCTACCTTCTGTCTGTGTTAGACTTCTGATATGTTTTTGTGGTTAGTAAGGAAAATGATCTTGAAGTTGAAAAATGAAAACTTGCATTTCATTATGTTCAATGTGTTCAACTGCTATTATCTTTTTCATCATATTAAGCTAAGTCTCACTGTTTTTTATGTGTAAAATTGCATTGAAGTTCAGAACAATACCAAAAAAAAAAAAAAAAAAAAAGGAAAAAAAAAAAAAAAAAAAAAAAAAAAAAAAAAAAAAAGGAGAATACGTAGTTATAACAACGAAAACATTCTTCTCTAAAGGGTATCAGCAATCGATATCTTCTATTATAAAATTCCATCGTCATGCTCAGTGACATATTCAAGAACTTCATTGCAAATTGACAAAATTGTTTTATAGATAAATACAGTAACTAAGTAAATCATGACCATTAGTGAGGAAACAAATGAGTCGATGATAAGTTACTTTTATGGTAGACATCTTAACTTATTTTCTAGAAAAGTTAGTCTTATGAGTAAAAAATGTAAACATGCAAATCGTGTTTGCAAAATAAGTAACTTAGAAGTAAATTTAATTTACTTTTAAGTATAACCAAACATGTTACATTACCAAGGCTAGATTTATGTAACATAGTATAGACCTAGTAATACATTTTCATTAGCTTTTGCATTTAGGTCTAGTCTATATATTATATGCTCATTTGTTAATCTGAACAAATAAGTGGACTAGTCAATCCAAATGCGTTATTCTCTCCTTTTAATAGAAAATGAAAAATGTGTAGATTGATCTGGAAATTCTCTCCTTCAGAATTCTTTCTTTCATGTCCTGGAAGTTGGATCAAAGAAAGGTAGCTTACTTGTCTCCTACACTCACGTCGTCTTATGTAGTGGTCGACACAGATGCGTTTATTATTGATTTTAGTAAGTCTTTTAAAAACTACAAGTTTTTAACTCATGAGATTTTATTAATTACAATAATATCCGCTTATGATTAAAATTTTTTATTGAGGAAATCAACCTTTAGTTCATTTTATGAATTAAACTAGTTTGACAAAAAAATGGTGACATGAGGTTTGACATCCTCTCACGTGTTGTTGGGACCTGCGTGAATAAAAAATTTCAAAAAAAATGGCTCCCACCCCTATTGTAAGTGTTTGGTCAAGGAGTCTGCCCCATTTTGTTAGTGTAGCATAGTTACTATGATCAAATAATTTACTATTTTAATAAATAAATAATTGGCACAATTTAATGCGTTAGACTTGTCCCTTGTTGCACCTATTTTTAATGGTACTAATATATAAAAATATTGATACTGAAATATAAAATATAATAAAATATTTTTCCTTTTTATAATTTTGATTGGGTTATGTTGTATTTGTAAATTGGTTGTCGTGTATTTATCAAAATGTGTTTTAATTGTGGTATGTTTCTAACGTGGTGTAACAAATAAAAATTGTGATGGTAATATAATTATCTTAAAAAAATGTAACTTTACCATGTTTGCAAAATAAGTACTTACAAGTAATTCACTCTAAAGTACAACCAACTTATGTTGTAATTATACTATGCTGTTACAACCGTGGCTAACTTGTGAAGAATTATGTAAAATATAGTAATACACTTTCATTGGCCTTTGCATTTTGCTCTACTCTATATATTATATGCTCGTTCATCAATTTGAACACACAAGTGCATTAGTCAATCGATAAGTGTCCAAGTAAATTTGAATCTCTCTCATTTTAATAGAAAGTAGAAACTTTCGTGAGGTTAATGTTGACATTATCTCATTTTTATAGCTCTTTCTTCCGAGTTGGATCAAAGAAAGACAGCGTGCTTCTCTTCTAGACTAAGGCCATCTCTAACCCTGCACCAAATTTTGCACCATTTTACACCAAATTTTGTACCAAATTAAAATTCATATCCAACCATTACATCAAAAATTACACCAAATGAACAGTATTTAACCATTTTCTTCCCTTTTTTATTCTTTATAATCTACTTATTTGAAATATTATTTATTTAATTATTTCATAAATACATAAATTACTTAATAAATAATTACGTTAAATTACGGAAAAGATTAAATTCATTAATAAATATAAAAAACATAGAACAATTAATAAACATAGAACATAAATTGCTATTTAATATATTTCGTGTTAACTTTAATAAATAATCTTGTTTGATGTATTTTAAATTGTTTTCGTCTTTTAATTAATTAATTAATTAATTATTATGTCTTACATTTTAAATTTATTTTAAACACAAATAATATTAGTATTAATAAAAAATAATAATAATTTATTGTATTAAAAAATATATAGCACAAATTACATAAATACCCTCAACAAATTTATTTGAGAAATTTTAAATAAGGGCAAAATGGATATTTTACACTTTGCACCATTTTGCACCAAAATGGTGCAAAGTTTGGTGTTAGGTTGGAGCAATTTTGCACCAAAAAATGGTGCAATGGTGTTGTGGTTGGAGTTGCCCAATGTTAACTTATGTGGTGGTTGGACCACTGTCTTACATTTCAAAAAGCCCTTTTACTAATCAAGGCATAGAACGCAAAAAATAATAATAATAACGAGTTATTGTACATTGACGATATGACCTCTCCAGAATGGGAACAATATTAACCTTGATTAACATGCATTACCAAAATTTCAGGCCATTAAAACTGTTTCAAACTTTTCAGTTTTGTGAATATGAAGAACAAAATTGATATAGTAATCTTGTTGCTTGATGGCAAAGGAGTTTAGTATTGATTTCACTAACCCCCGTTTGTTTCTCATTTTTGGAAAAATAAGAATGAAAAATATAGTCGTTACGGACCCCATATAAAATATAGAAATACAAATTTGGTGATTTGATGTGATAAATAACAATCATATTTTTTATTTTAATGAGGAAATAATAAGAACCAAATAGGGGCTAAGTCTTTTAAACATACCAAGTGTTTTAAGTCATGAAATTACATCAATTAAAATAATATCCACTTGCGATTAATTATTTTTTTTTATTGAGGGAATCAACCTTTTTTACTTATTTTTATAGTGCTATGATCAAATAATTATTATTTTAATAAAGAAATAAATGTCACAGTTTAACCTGTTAGACTTATCCTCGATTGCACCTATGTTTTATGGTACTATTATATAAAAATATTGACACTACGAAATATAAAATATAAAATTGCTTCGATTACCAAAACAAGCGCGACTTCTTAGCAATAAATATAAAATGATGAATTATTCACACCGTTGCTCACTCCTAGTCCGGGTGGTAGGTGTTTTTGGGGGTGGGGGTGACGGGGGGCACATGTGTTGGGACTGAGGTTGATATGGTAAGTCGCGAGTCATTCCGCATTATTTTTTATTTATTTATTTAATTCTTTTTTGGTAATAACGTTTCGAATGAGTTACCGTTCCCACTTACCTTCCCAGTAATTTCGAGGAAACTTTACTTTATCTCTCGTTTATGTGGGCCGGCACGTGACTTTTCACAATTCTTTCAACTCAACGAATGAAGACACACCTCTAATTTAAATTATTCCAATTCTTATCTGTCATTTGCTTTTAATTTATATGTTGGCAGGTGGGGTTCAGAATAAAAGATTATACAATGACTTGGTCAAGTTGCATCAATAATTCGTTTCTTTAAGCAATTTCCTCTGCACTTTCCTGAAAATATCGAAGCTTTTTCTGAGTTCTTTCTTCAAGCTTCAAGCTTAAATCATCTTCACTTGACACCATGTATAGCTACAACATCTAGTTAGATTTTCCTTTTAATCAAGAATTAATCGGCGAAATAATGTCTGATGCTGCTGTAGAATTTCTGCTGGAAAACTTGAAACAGCTGCTTCTTTACAATGCAAATCTGATTCTTGACGTGAAGGGTCAGGTGGAATTTCTGTACAATGATTTGAGTTTGTTCAAAGCTTTCCTCAAGGACTCGACAGAGAAGCGGAACAAGAATGCCACCCTTCAAGAATTGGTGAAACAAATCAGAGATGTAGTTTATGAAGCTGAAGACACTGTGGACACATTTGTTGCTCAGGCAGCTGTGCACAAGTCCAGGAGTAGCATCGAGAGGGCTTTTCATATATTCGATTATCCAGCAAAGCTTCGAAGTGTGGCGAAAAAGATTGAGGGCATCAGGGCCAAGGTCAAGGATATATATGACAACAAGAAGTTTGGGTTTGAGGCACTGCAAGATGGGGAAAGATCTACCAAAGCAAAAGAGAAAAAGGTAATTACTCTAATAAAATAAGTTATTTTAGAGCTATATTGCTGGGTTAGCTTATAAGTTGGTATTATGTAAAATTTCTCTGTTGTCTGGTACTTAATCTTGAGTGGATCTTGGTATTAGTATTTTTAGTATTGCCTCTACTAGTGAAAATCATGAAAACTGGATACTTCATTGACAACAAAAATTGGGTTGACCAAAAGTCAATACAATCTTCAATCGTGTTTGATGTTTCTAGGATTGATTGGTTTATCACTAATTTTGAAGGATCTGATTAACTGTCCTTTGTCATATAAATGTTAGATTCCTTTTATTTTTATTTTCATTTTTATTTTTTGGTTACTAATCCCAGAGCCTTTGACAGGCTTTCATAGTCTATTGTCGAATGAAATGCAGAACTAAATATTGTTAGAGGATTATGAAATAGTTATAGATTAATTTATAGACATGGATAGAGATATTTCATCGCAGATATTTTCTTGTGAAGAGTTTACAATTAATCTTGTTTTGTACAGTCTTGAATGCATTCCGATCTCTATTGGCACCTTGTTTTTCGGAATTCTGATATGATTGTTGTTCACTATAATATAGGCTCCCATTGTAGAGGAAGACAATGTGGTGGGATTTGAAGATGAGGCAAAAACTGTTACTAATCTACTCATGGGAGGACCTGATGAACTCGAAGTTATATCAATTATTGGCATGCCTGGCCTTGGAAAGACAACACTGGCAAAAATGATATATCGTGATCCTAAAATTGAATATGAATTCTATAACCGAGCATGGGTTTATGTTTCTCAAGAATATAATAGAAAGGAAGTGTTTCTCAATATTTGGAGTCATTTTGCTAAGCCAAGTGATGAGATGTATAAGATGAATGATGAAAAAATAGCTAAGGAACTTCGTGAATTCCTGGAGAAAGGGAAGTATTTAATTGTCATGGATGATGTCTGGACTGAAGATGCCTGGAATGATCTCAAAATTGCTTTTCCCAGAAATAAGAAGCGAAGCAAAATATTACTGACTAGTCGTATCAGGAGAGTGGCTGTGCATGCCAACCCCAACAGGGAGCCCCATAATTTGCGTTTTCTAACTTCGGATGAGAGTTGGACATTGCTCCAAAGGAAGGCACTTGGCGGAGAGGAATGTCCTGATGAGTTGTTACAACCTGGAAAGCATATAGCCAGAGAATGTGGTGGACTTCCACTTGCTCTAGTGGTGATTGGAGGAATTCTACTGGAAAAAGGTACTGAAAGTTATTGGTGGGATAAGGTTGCTCAAAGTGTGGATGCATATATTGCCATGGATCAGGAGAAACGTATGGACAGTTTTATAACTTTGAGTTTTAATCACTTACCTTATTACTTGAGAGCATGCTTTCTCTACTTCGGGATGTTTCCAGAAGATTGCCAAATCCCAGTGTGGAAATTGGTTCGCCTGTGGATCGCTGAAGGATTCATACAACAAAAGGAGGGAATGAGCTTGGAGGATATTGCGGAGGAGTACTTAGACGATCTTGTCAACAGGAATTTAGTCATGGTTGGAGAACGGAGGTCAAATGGAAAAGTTAAAACATGCCATGTTCATGACATGCTACACGTGTTCTGCAAGAATCAAGCTGCAGAGGAAAACTTCTTCCAAGAAATTAAACGGTTTGATCAAGTTACCTATTCGTCTTCCAATCCTTACTTGGAATCGTATCGTCGCCTTTGCATTCATTCCCGTGTTTGGAGTTATATCTCTTCAAAACCATTTGGTCCACGTGTTCGGTCTTTCTTGTGTTTCTCTTCTGAAGAAATTATTCTGCAAGCTGAACACACTTCCTCCATCCCTGGAGCATTTAAATTGCTCAGGGTTTTAGATGCTAAACCCATTTTTTTCACTCGTTTTCCTACTGATCTAGCTCAACTCGTTCATTTGAGGTATCTTGTTCTGTCCAGCAATTTCAAGATCCTTCCTTCTCCCATTTCTAGCCTTTGGAACATGCAAACTCTTATAGTTGAGACTTCAGAACGAACCCTTGAAATCAAAGGAGATATATGGAAGATGATACAACTGAGGCATCTAAAAACAAATGCATCCACATTTTTACATGGTCCTCTTGCTAAATCAAGAAAAAGTAAAGATGATTCCCTGATAAATGCTAACCTAAAAACAATTTCTACAATCTCACCTGAAAGTTGTACAGAAGATGTATTTGCCAGAGCTCCAAACCTAAAGAAATTGGGTATTCGTGGCAAATTAGCTAAACTTTTGGAACCCAAAGGTGTGTCGAGTTTGTTTGATAGCCTGGGAAAATTGGATTACCTTGAAAATTTGAAGCTATTAAATGATGTATTTCCTTTGCCTCCTTCGGAAGGCAAACTAGCTGGCCTTCCCCAAAGGTATAAATTTCCACCAAAGCTAAAGAAACTAACACTGGCAGACACCCTTCTTGATTGGAGTCAAATGGCTACATTGGGAATGTTGGAAAGCCTTGAGATCCTAAAGTTGAAAGACAATGCATTTAAGGGAGAGTGGTGGCAGCCGGAGGATGGAGGTTTCCGTGCTCTCAAAGTCTTGTTTATTGGAAGGACAGATTTAGTTCATTGGCATGCTTTGACTCATCACTTCCCAAGACTCAGGAGTCTTTATCTTAAACACTGCACTAGCCTCGAAGCAGTCCCAGTCAGCCTTGCAGATGTTTTAAGCCTCCAGATAATTGACTTGTACTGTACCACCAAATCAGCTGCTGCTTCTGCCCGGAAAATCCAGCAGTATAAGAAAACGATGAAAGATGAGGCTGAGAAGCAAGGCAACAAAGGCATTGTATTTAAGCTCTCCGTTTATCCTCCAGATCAATGACCTCCATTCCTTCGAGCTCAAAAATGCTTCCTTCACAGGTAAAACATTTTTTAATCTAGTTACTCTCCTGGCTTCATAATTGTACTACCATTGAGAACTCAAGGAGCAAAATTTTATATGAAGATCCAGATTGAATTAATTCTTCAAAATTGGTGCACCATAAAAAACTTTCCTTTTTATTACTAAACTGGTATGTCAAACAATTGTTAGGATTTCCAAGTTTCTTTTTTCTGAATGTACATAAAACTTATCTTTTTACATGCTCCATCGCTAAGTATGGACATGAATCATATTCCTTAATGTGATTCTGAATTCTGTTGTACGAAGTAGAAGTCCAAGATAACAAGTTCTGCAGGCAGGAGTTTTCTTGCTATTATCTTGCATACTATTGAAACTTATTTGTAGTCTAGTGCGTAAAATTTTTCCGAAATGTATAACTGAGAACTTTCTGAAATTCTCAAATGACACCAGCTAAAAGGTAGGAACTCATCTTTTAGATATTTCAGATATTGAGTAGAATTAGATGAACAACCTTAAATCAATTCTTTAATTATTTGTGATTCTGAAATAAACATTTTTCACTATAATATAGGCTCCCATTGTAGAGGAAGACAATGTGGTGGGATTTGAAGATGAGGCAAAAACTGTTACTAATCTACTCATGGGAGGACCTGATGAACTCGAAGTTATATCAATTATTGGCATGCCTGGCCTTGGAAAGACAACACTGGCAAAAATGATATATCGTGATCCTAAAATTGAATATGAATTCTATAACCGAGCATGGGTTTATGTTTCTCAAGAATATAATAGAAAGGAAGTGTTTCTCAATATTTGGAGTCATTTTGCTAAGCCAAGTGATGAGATGTATAAGATGAATGATGAAAAAATAGCTAAGGAACTTCGTGAATTCCTGGAGAAAGGGAAGTATTTAATTGTCATGGATGATGTCTGGACTGAAGATGCCTGGAATGATCTCAAAATTGCTTTTCCCAGAAATAAGAAGCGAAGCAAAATATTACTGACTAGTCGTATCAGGAGAGTGGCTGTGCATGCCAACCCCAACAGGGAGCCCCATAATTTGCGTTTTCTAAATTCTGATGAAAGTTGGATATTACTCCAAAGAAAGGCACTTGGTGCAGAGGAATGCCCTAAGGAGTTGATACAACCTGGAAGGCTTATAGCCAGAGAATGTGGCGGACTACCGCTCGCACTAGTGGTGATTGGAGGAATTCTATTGGAAAAAGGTACTGAAAGTTATTGGTGGGAAAAGGTTGCTCAAAGTGTGGATGCGTATATTGCCATGGATCAGGAGAAACGTATGGACAGTTTTATAACTTTGAGTTTTAATCACTTACCTTATTACTTGAGAGCATGCTTTCTCTACTTCGGGATGTTTCCAGAAGATTGCCAAATCCCAGTGTGGAAATTGGTTCGTCTCTGGATCGCTGAAGGATTCATACAACAAAAGGAGGGAATGAGCTTGGAGGATATTGCAGAGGAGTACTTAGACGATCTTGTCAACAGGAATTTAGTCATGGTTGGAGAACGGAGGTCAAATGGAAAAGTTAAAACATGCCATGTTCATGACATGCTACACGTGTTCTGCAAGAATCAAGCTGCAGAGGAAAACTTCTTCCAAGAAATTAAACGGTTTGATCAAGTTACCTATTCGTCTTCCAATCCTTACTTGGAATCGTATCGTCGCCTTTGCATTCATTCCCGTGTTTGGAGTTATATCTCTTCAAAACCATTTGGTCCACGTGTTCGGTCTTTCTTGTGTTTCTCTTCTGAAGAAATTATTCTGCAAGCTGAACACACTTCCTCCATCCCTGGAGCATTTAAATTGCTCAGGGTTTTAGATGCTAAACCCATTTTTTTCACTCGTTTTCCTACTGATCTAGCTCAACTCGTTCATTTGAGGTATCTTGTTCTGTCCAGCAATTTCAAGATCCTTCCTTCTCCCATTTCTAGCCTTTGGAACATGCAAACTCTTATAGTTGAGACTTCAGAACGAACCCTTGAAATCAAAGGAGATATATGGAAGATGATTCAATTGAGGCATCTAAAAACAAACGCGTCCACATCTTTACCAGGTCCTCTTGCTAAATCAAGAAAAAGTAAAGATGATTCCCTGATAAATGCTAACCTAAAAACAATTTCTACAATCTCACCTGAAAGTTGTACAGAAGATGTATTTGCCAGAGCTCCAAACCTAAAGAAATTGGGTATTCGTGGCAAATTAGCTAAACTTTTGGAATCCAAAGGTGTGTCGAGTTTGTTTGATAGCCTGGGAAAATTGGATTACCTTGAAAATTTGAAGCTATTAAATGATGTATTTCCTTTGCCTCCTTCGGAAGGCAAACTAGCTGGCCTTCCCCAAAGGTATAAATTTCCACCAAAGCTAAAGAAACTAACACTGGCAGACACCCTTCTTGATTGGAGTCAAATGGCTACATTGGGAATGTTGGAAAGCCTTGAGATCCTAAAGTTGAAAGACAATGCATTCAAGGGAGAGTGGTGGCAGCCAGAGGATGGAGGTTTCCGTGCTCTCAAAGTCTTGTTTATTGGAAGGACAGATTTAGTTCATTGGCATGCTTCGACTCATCACTTCCCAAGACTCAGGAGTCTTTATCTTAAACACTGCACTAGCCTCGAAGCAGTCCCAGTCAGCCTTGCAGATGTTTTAAGCCTCCAGATAATTGACTTGTACTGTACCACCAAATCAGCTGCTGCTTCTGCCCGGAAAATCCAGCAGTGTAAGAAAACGATGAAAGATGAGGCTGAGAAGCAAGGCAACAAAGGCATTGTATTTAAGCTCTCCGTTTATCCTCCAGATCAATGACCTCCATTCCTTCGAGCTCAAAAATGCTTCCTTCACAGGTAAAACTTTTTTTAATCTAGTTACTCTCCTGGCTTCATAATTGTACTACCATTGAGAACTCAAGGAGCAAAATTTTATATGAAGATCCAGATTGAATTAATTCTTCAAAATTGGTGCACCATAAAAAACTTTCCTTTTTATTACTAAACTGGTATGTCAAACAATTGTTAGGATTTCCAAGTTTCTTTTTTCTGAATGTACATAAAACTTATCTTTTTACATGCTCCATCGCTAAGTATGGACATGAATCATATTCCTTAATGTGATGCTGAATTCTGTTGTACGAAGTAGAAGTCCAAGATAACAAGTTCTGCAGGCAGGAGTTTTCTTGCTTTTATCTTGCATACTATTGAAACTTATTTGTAGTCTAGTGCGTAAAATTTTTCCGAAATGTATAACTGAGAACTTTCTGAAATTCTCAAATGACACCAGCTAAAAGGTAGGAACTCATCTTTTAGATATTTCAGATATTGAGTAGAATTAGATGAACAACCTTAAATCAATTCTTTAATTATTTGTGATTCTGAAATAAACATGGTTTAAAACTTATAATATTATTCAAACTGGCTGCAATTGATTTGTAATTTGCGGGCAGAAAATATAAAGAAAAAGATAAATATATGTTTAAATTCTTACATTTTTTCTTTTCATACATAATTGACTCTATGATCTGTGCAGGTGGATTCTCCGATGAACAATGATGCCAAGGGTGTTGGACAAATGAAGTTTAGATGCACGGATCCATGTTTACTCTTCCTAGTCTTGTTGCACTTGCTTTGCTTGAATAAAAGAATCTATTCCACTTTATTTTACAGTATCTTGAACTTGAGAAAATTTGTATTTCATTTGGTTGAATTTGTGTTGCTGCTGCTGTAATTTTAACTTGTCTATATCTCTTTATTTTACTTTGAAGTTGCTTTTGTGGTTGTCTTAGGACAACATTTTCCTTTTCTTGATGAGTATTTATTATATGTGCTAGTTGTCTTGTGGATTGATAGTGTGCTGTTGGCGGAAGTATAAACAAGAGATCATCTTTTGTTTTCTCTGGTATTGTTGACCATCCACGGTACCCTATAATGTCCGTCGATTGCACATCTTCATTTATACCCATGAGCAGAGCTGGTCTCGAGAATTTTGAGGCCCTAGGCAATCAATGATTATGAGGCCCTTGAGCATAATTTTTTACAGACGTAATAGTACTTCAAAAATGGATATGGAGGGTGTTAAAAATAATTTTTTTACAAAAGGACCACTACTTGAAAATTGATACATGGTATGTTAGTTTGCTGAAAAAGTAAATAGTAAAAGTACATATCGAATTTTAGAAACTTCTCCATGAAAATTTACCCACCACAGTAAGTTTGCTAAAATTTTAACTTTGTAGATTCGTAATCCAATTTTTTATCATTGGATTGTATAACATTGGACTTTTTATCATTCACCCAAAAGGTCACCCTAGTAAAGCGAACGAATCTACAACTCTGAAAGTAGATGTCAAAGTATGGAGTATGTTTATGAAAATTAAACGTAAATAACACCTTAAACATAAATTAAACCATTTGTGAACAAGGTTGGGAGTCTTGGGACTATGATCAAGCTTAAATTTTCAACTCATCACAGATGACAAATTCCCCGATGGCATATCCATGTTAATTCGAAACAAAACAACAACAAATAGGTTTCATTTGCAATCAGTTTTGCTAACCAGGTGCTTGTAATCGGTTTTGTAGAATTCTTAACTTCTTAAGAGGTATATGGGGTAGCCTATATGGGCTATGAATAATATCTTGTTAATCAATATGAGCGTATGTTTCAAAAAAAATAAAAAAAATAAATAAATAAAAGAAAAAAGAAAAATAATATTTAAGCCCAACAATGACCTATCTTTAACGTCTTCAACCTGCAATACAGAAACTTCTGCTGTTGCAACAATGACATTTACTAGACAAGGCTAGAAAGTTAGGTGCCCCAGAAAATCATAAGCCCTTGGTGGTTGCCTTGTCTGCCTTATGCCAAGGCCGGCCCTGCCCATGAGAGGTCAAACAAACTAAAATGTTGTCCTTTGCAGTTATTGCTAATAACACCATCATCTTGATGGGCAATCAATTTGGCTACATGTGCCAACCTTGGCACCATGACCTCTCACATATTCTCCTCGATCCAGGAGCGTAGATTGGTCTTTAATACTAAACGTTGCAAGTGAAAGCATAAACAAGAATAAGTACTAGATCACAAACGCGAATTCACGCACAAATTAGAGATGCAGTGCATAGTTGAAGAGCAATCTGTTATGTTTCAATAAATAATTATAAATAACCACCTTAAAAATTGTAGGAAAACAAGATGTTTTAATAGACTCTAAACATTAGAGTCATACTAAAAGACCAAAATAGTTCTAACATTAAAGAACCAAAATCAATAAACATAATTAAAAATGATGAAGCTTTCGAAACTAGCATCAGCTTCAGCCTCAAATTTACCTGCACCGAAAGATATCGACTATTAGTGTCATGTCCGATTGTAGCAAATATGTTCGATGCTTATCACAAACAACCAAGCTTGAAGACTATTTTGAGTTAAATTAAGATTTGGAATGTTCCAAATTGACCTTTTCTCACTTCAACGTGTTTATCCCACAAAAGATATGACCTAAAGAAAATAGATCACTTTGATAAATATAAATACAAAAACAGGCATATTCTTTGCATTTGGACCACGACTGAAAAGTCCATATTCTACTGCCTTCGAAAATTTACCACTATCAAAGCACCTTTTCTCTCCGGTTCTTAACTATACATTCCAAAAACGCGCAACCTTTCAAACCAAAAATTTCAAGCATTTCCCTTCAATGAATTTCCATAGCAATCTTAAACAAGAAATGTATACAAAGAAGGTTTTCTCGTATGAATTTGAAGAACATGAGGAAGATGACGATGTTTTCTATTGTGAACTTAGAAGGCAAGTTGTTGGGTTTTGATACCCTATAATCCAGGCGATAGTGTTAAACTGATGTTGGATAAAATAAATATCAACACCCAAGATTGATAATCCGACCCTAAGACTATTTGGGTCATTAGAAGCAACTAATTAATTAGTGTTGCTCGTGGCCCGATTTCTACACTCATTGGATGGTTTTTGTATGTTGGCCCTTGTCGTATTTTTATTGGGCTTGGCACATCTCTATGCCTTAACCTAACCTATATAAGTTGGCAAGTTGGCTCTCTTCTCTTTTGTAATTTACGTGTTTGCCTTGTCTTGTGTTTTGAGAGAAAAATGAGACTGTCTCTTTTGCTTTGTGCTTTTCCTTGGCCGTGCCTTCTTGTTCTTCTCTGTCCTTTGTGGCTACAAACACCGTCATTTTTGTGTCCTAGGTAGGTACAAATCTTGAGCGACCGGAGTGTGGAAGAGGTTTAAGGTTTTGGGTCGTAATTGCTTGGGTGTATTGATATTGGTATAATGAGCTCGAAATTCCACCAATTGGAGGTTGACTTTTCAATATTTGGTATCAGAGCAAGGTTGTTGGTGGATTTCTAGCCCGAAATAGATTGAAAACTGGTCTGAGATTTTGCAGGAAGGCAGAAATCGGATCGATCCAGTTGAAATTTTTTTTACCAAATCTGTTTCTTCATTTTTCGGTGAATTTACTCACCTTTCGGACAAACCAAGACCATCGGCATATTCAGCAGATCGAGGCACACCAGAGTGGGTGGCACGTGGTTGAACCGTGGGTGCGTGGCAGCCGGGGGATGGATCTCCAACGTGGACATGTGGCAGCGCGTGGGGTCTCCTCTGACGACAGTATCTTCAGGCAATTTTCTTTGGACGACAAGACAAACCCTGCGATGGTGTTAGTTTTCAGTTTCAAGATATACAAAAAAAGTTGGATGATTTTGTCTCTGAACACTTGGCTATTGGTTGCTGGACATTCGTGTTGGCATATCTGCTGAACTTTAGGGTAAATAATTGTGGCCCTAAACCAGCAAATTCGCATCTCTCGTAATTTATGGATTCAGATAGGTCCGCTCTGGTAATTTGGCTGAAACTTTTACATTATCGCACTAGCAGATCATCGTATGGGGTGATAATTAGGATTAGGGGTTATCATTGCTTGTGTTAGAAAATTCAGGAATTATCTAACCTATTTGAAGTGTTGAAGTTGATTGCAAGTTGGTAATTGATTTTGTGCTGTAATTGTCATATAGTCACTGTGTGAGACTGCATTACGTGAAAATTTGAATTTTTGTTGACATACGTGTTGCATTAATTATCCTGTTAGAACACCTGGATTTGACCCGTTCGAAAATTCCCTTGATTTAAGATTGTGAATCTTATGAAACCATGAAAATCTAGAACGGTGTATATTGTGGTCGTAGGATTACTTCGTATGACCTATCGTGCATTTAGTTGTTCTGTTTTTCCAAAAATGTCTTCACATTTCAAAGTTGGTATTTTCAATGGGAAAAGAGATTTTTCAATTTGACAACAAAAGATGAAGGGGATTTTAGTTCAACAAAAAATTTCAAAGGCCATGGCAAATTTCCCGCAAATTTGACAGAAACACATAAAAGAGGAATACGATGAACTTGCTTACACTTCGATTATCTTACACTTATCTGACAATGTCTTGAGAAAATTTGGAAAACTAGATTCTACAAAAGAACTTTGAAAAAAGTTGGAGGACTTATATTTGCTTAAGTCTACTTCTAATAAGTTGTACTTGCTTAAAGGATTTTTCAATTGTAAAATGGGTCTTTCAAATGATCTTGACGACAACCTGGATACTTTTAACAAACTTGTTCAAGACATTGTTAACCGTGTTGAAAAGGTATCTAAAACATATAAAGCAATTATCTTACTTAATTCTATGTCTGATTTATATAGAGAGGTTAAGAATGAAATTAAGCACGATAGGGACACCCTAACACCTGCAATTGTCATAGACTCACTTAGGAGTAAGAAAATGAAAATTAAGGCTAAAAATGAAGATAAGAGAAGTGGTGAGTTACAGATGATAAGGAGTATGATGAAGTTTAAGCAAATGAATTTGGGTAGAGCTCAAAATAGTGGTGACTCGAGTGATGAAGATAGTAAGAAGAAGGGCAAGAGACGGGACAAGTCTAGTGGTAAACGGTGTTACAGCTGTGGTAAGTCTGGACACTTTATTAGGGACTGTCCTAAGAAGAAGGATAAGCAGAAGGGTAATGTGAGAGGTGGGACGAATGTGGTTGAGGGGTCGAGTTATGACCTTAGTGAGGCTTATTAAGAGTAAGCCTAGTTACTGCATATGCATCTGTGTGTGATCTTTTTTGCATGTGTGTGATTATCTGATTATGTTGCATGATTATATGTAACATTTAAATTTGTTTGATAAGTGTGTTTGCATGAATTTGAGGTAATGTGATTAATTTGTGTGATTGTTTGCATGCATAGTGAGTTAGGATGCATTAACAGTGAGTTGTGTGTCTTTGGTATGGTGGAGTATAGATGCCTAAGGGTACACTGTGGTTTGTACTGGGGATATGAAGTGTAACATTTGGATTATGAGTGGAGATGTGATCAAATGTCTTGAATCCTTTATCTGTGAAAGAGACCATGTACATGTGGAGTGTGAGAGAGGCACTTCTATTACTTTGATAAGGTGGAGACCCATTATCCACGTAGGTTGGAAGAAGTGATGTGTGACTTGCCGTTAGACTTGAATGAGTGATTATCTAGTAAGCATGGTGGGTGATGAGAAGAGATATGTGTTCCCGAGGTGGGAGTAACATGAAATGGGATAGGATAAGTGTTGTGAGATCTTTCGTGGGGTCATTTATACATTTGTTGCATATGTATTTGATTGTGTGCCGATTAACTTGGTGTTAATCTTTGGCTCTATGTGAATGAGGTTTTGAAAAAATCTGTGTATTATCCTAGATAATAGCTTCATCGCATGATTATTTGTTTACTG